AGAATACTATCAAAATATCACACAATAGCATGTTCTCTGTTAACTACTGAGTGTTCTCAGCTTTCCGTCAGTATAGCTTCGTCATGTGAAGCCTTTGAGTTGTGTGTCAGAGGTCACTTTGCTGTGTGGTTGCATACTAGTCTGTGGTCTAAAGAGCTGTTATGTGTCCACTCACTTGTCGGTAGCTTCGTGTTATGTATTACAAGCAGCTATAGTGAGGTCTGTGTGCAGATATTCACAAAAACATGAGTCTGCACTTTCTGGAGTAAATCCCCAAGACCTCGCTTAGTTGTATGGTAAGTGTATGCTTAGCTTTCTCAAGAAGTGCACCCTCGCGTTGCAGAGGGCACCAGAGGAAGTTCCTACCGCAGCGTAGAAGGGAATGCATTTGCTCTGCATCTTTGTCAGCTCCTTGGCATTTAAATTGTGTCCCGTTTAATAGACTCTTATTGCATCTCCTTGTCCCTTTAATTTGTCTTTCTCTAAACTAATACATTGAGCATCTTCATATGCTTATTTTCCATCATGTATCTTCCTTCTATGGTATAATGTCTGTTCAAGTCGTTTGCCCATTTATAATGGGATCTGTTTTGTAATAATTAAAATGATTATCACGGTGTATGTGTGCACACGCATGGCTTGTATGTGTGAGTGTGGGTGACAGGGAGGGCCGAAGACAATTCTGTGTGGTCACTTCTCTGTTTTCGCTTTTCCTTGGGCTCCGGGGATGGAGCTTGGGGTGCCTGACTTGTGCAGTAAGTACCGTTGCTCACTGACCCATCTTGCCAGCCCTTGGATTGTTCCTTTCTTAATGCTGAGCTTAAAGAATTGTCACATATTTCCAGTGTAAGTCCTTTGTCAGTTGTGATTTGCAAAAGTCGTTTCTGTGTATAGCTGGCCTTTTATTGTGCCCTCCACCTCCATTTGCCTGTCCATTTATTTTTGTCAGTGCTGGGAATGGAACCCATGCTCTTGCACATCCTGGACAAGTGCTTTCTGAGCCACACCCCAGTCCACGGCTCCATTTGACTTTATTCACTGGTCACTGTGACTGGTTCCCAGGTCAGAAGAGCTGCTGGCAGATCTGTGGACAGACAACCTTTCTGCTCACACTGCCCCAGGTTGTAGGGATCCTAGACCCCAGATGCACCTGTGGCCCCAAGGTTCACACCGTGGATGTCTTTACATTCTTAATGGGTGCTCTCACAGAGCAGAAGTTTGGAAGTTTGATGAAATCTAGTGCGTTGATTGTTTTTATTTTCCTTAATAGGTTTATAGGTTTGATATTATATATAAGATCACTGGGTCCTGATGGCTTTTCTGTGATTGCTTCTAGAAGTTTTTATCTTTAGTTCTTTAGTTTGAATTTTAGATTCACACACAGTTACCACAGAATATCACATAGACTGTCATCCCTTGTGTTTTTTTTTGTTTTTGTTTTTTTTTTGTTTTTTTTTGGTAGGGGTGACTTATAATTGTAAGATGATATTAAAAACCACAAATTGAAATTGGTACAATCTAGTTTTTATAAGCAAAGTGTTCAGGGTTCTTCTTTGAAATATGATCCTAGATTATTTATTTATTTGTGTTTAGATATTTTTCATTGAGTTAATTTGCTGGTATTTTCTAGGGATATTTACAACCTTGTTAATGAGGCATAACTGTGTGTGTGTGTGTGTGTGTCTGTATGTGTTGTAAATACTGCTTTTGCTTTGGGTGTTAGCATAATGCTGTTCCGAAATGTGTTAGGAAAGGACTGTAAAATTGATGTTATTTGTTCTTTAAATATTGGGCTGAATTTGTTAACGGAAGCTCCCATGACCAGTTCTGTTGATCTTAAGATATAAACTTCCATTTGTTTTTCTCATTTGTCTTTCTGTCATCCTCTTCACTGCTTTTTGTTCTTTGACATTTTCTTGGTCTACTAACCCCTAACCTTAACCCACTTTTCCCTTTTTCTAGTTTTATAAATGGAACTAAAGGTTATTGGTTTAGGATTTCATGTTTTACTCTGAGCTTTACTGCAGTGGGTTCCCCCTATACATACTGACTGATTTAGTTTTATCTCAGAATTTGATGTGCAGTTGTTACTTTCATTCATAAAAGTGAGTTTATTTAATGTTGTTGAATGTTGCTTTGCTTTTAACTTTGTTTTTTATTTATAATGCTTTGTAAGTTTAAGTCTTACTATAGATTATAATATGCATGTATAATTTATTAAGGTCTACAGTCATTCACATTTTATTATTCAAGTGGAATATAGATACCTGTAAATTTTTTTTTCCTGAAAATGTTTGTGTGTGTTAGTCTGTGTGTGTGCATGTGTGTGCATGTGTGTGCATGTGTGTGTTAGTCTATGTGTGTGCATGTGTGTGCATGTGTGTGTTAGTCTATGTGTGTGCATGTGTGTGCATGTGTGTGTTAGTCTATGTGTGTGCATGTGTGTGCATGTGTGTGTTAGTCTATGTGTGTGCATGTGTGTGCATGTGTGTGTTAGTCTATGTGTGTGCATGTGTGTGCAGGTGCACTGAAGCTGAAGGACAAGCTCGGTTGTCATCCTCAGGAATGCTTTTCATGTCCTTTGAGACTTGATCTGTCTCATCAGCCTGGAATTCACAGATTAGGTTATGCTGGCTGGTGAGTGAGTCCTCACCCTATCATTACTGGGATTACAAATTGTCACCGTGGCTGGCAGATTATGTGGCTTTTAGGGCTAGGTTCTTATGCTTATGTAGTAAGCACTTGACCAAATAAGGCATTCCCCCACATTCCTCTGATCCCCCTTTTTTTGAGACAGTATCATTTGTAGTTCAAGCTACCTTAGGAACTTCCAAATGATGGGATTGCAAGAATTTGCCACCATTTGCAGCTGGAATGTAGATGTCTCTTTAAAAAAATTCATCATCATCATCATCATCATTTTGTATGGGTATGGATATTTAGCCTGCATGTATATCTTGTGTGCGATATGTATGCCTGATGCCTGCAGAGGCCAGAAGAGGGCATCAGATCCCCTGGGACTGGAGTTACAGAAGGTTGTGAGCTGCCATGTGGGTGCTGGGAAGAGAACCCCAGTCCTCTGGAAGAGCAGCCAGTGCTCTTCATCACTGAGCCATTTCTCTAGGCCAAATGTAGATATCTTAACCACCACTAAAACTGTTTTTTATCATCTGTTTGTATTTAGGAATACCTCCTCATGCATGAATGGAGAATGCCATTGGTTTTACTTCTGTTTAAAAGAAATATGCTGAGTCTTTCTGTTGCTTTCTCCATTGCTGCTATCCTAAGTTTCCTTTGAGAGTTCTTTCCATTCTGAACAACTTTTGAAATTGTATAACTCCTCTTGAATCATCCCCTGGGTCTCTCTTCCTATTCCATCTGCATTTGAATTTTGCATATTGGTTTCTGTCTGTCATTCTTCCTAAGGCCCACCTGTGGCCATCCCAGCCCAGATGTCAGATGTAGAGGTGAAGAAAGAATTGATTGTAAACAAACCCTCTAGTCACAGCTTTTGCAACTGTTGAAGTCAGCACCATTCACAGAGTCCTAGCATTGAGCCATCCCACCTGCAGGATCCTTGACCACAGCAGCATGGTTCTGAGTCATGCAGTAGTACGAAGGAAAATAAACACTTTATTTCCTGCATTTCTGAAAGTCTTTAACCTCACTCCTAACAGGGGCTTTGACTCTTGTGCTCCTAGGTACAAGGAAACCATTATTCAGAGACTTCATGTAATTTCTGTGCCATCTTACGGCTCCACATTCTGGTAGACATGATGCCATGTCATTGCCTTGTGTGGGCAATATGTCTTTCGTTTTGCAGGATTAGACATTTTACCCAAGTGCGTTTAGATAGTCCATGCCGCACTTCAGTCTGAGGGCTCACCTCTGTTTGTTGTTTCTATGTTTTTAATGTATCTTTTCAACATCCTCTCTTAGGCTTTTAACTCTCTTAGAAGTTGATTACTCTTTTTGAAATCATGGTTGGCCATTCTGTGTCACTGTGTTCTTCAGACTAAAGTGATTCTTGGATGCTTTGTTTTTGGTGTTGGTTGCCTGGTGTGCGTGCGTGCGTGTGTGTTTGTGTATGGCTATTATTTTCCTTATAAATCTGTGTTTAGTTCATAGCTGCCCATACCCAAAAGCTGTTGATATGATACCAGAAAGATCTTAAAGAGAATTCCTGGGAAACTCCCTGGGCTTTGGGGGTTAAATACCTTTCTTTCACTCTGGGGTCTGATGGCATCAGAGGGTTGTTAGTAACTGTGACCCTTACATGGCTTCTGCATGGAGTTACACCCACTTTGGCCTCAGTTTCTGTGGGTACTCACGGAAGTATGGCCATCTCCTTTAATCATATCTCACCTGCCTTTTGTCTTTTGGATTCCTTGTGGTTTTATAAAGAAACTACTCCTTTGTTTTCCAGGGCTCTCAGAATTTGGGAAATACGTGGGTTGTGGTTGCAGTTGCTCTGTTTGCAATTTCAGGCCATGGTGGATGGTGTGTTTAAAGGGCACAGAAATCTCACATAATTTTATAGGCCTCTGCAGTTTTTTTTTTTTTTTTTCTGTGCCCGTTATTTATTTCTTAGGCCTCTGTGTCAAAGGTTAGGGCACAGTTCTCATGTGTCCTTTGATTGTGTGTCTTTTCATCTACCTGTGCATCTCAGTATCTGAAAGTCAAAATATTTGCAAATTACATTAATAAAAAAAATGAGATTCAAACTTTAAATTTGTGCCAGTCTGAGTAGAAAACATTGTCAAAGAAATGTAGTAAAATTTGCAGTGATATTTTTTTAGAAAGATGTTGCTTGTGACCTTCCCATTTTCTTTTATATAAAAGTATTTAGAATGATTTATAATAATTAAAGTAATCACAACTTTATCTGGTGTGAAAAGAGCCATTTAAAACATACTTGCTTAGGCAAATCAGCTAGAATGTTAATACCATTTTTTCCCCTATCTGGTTATTGACTTGAGACACCACACAATCTCTTTCAGAGCAACATCTCAGACATGTGGAAAAAGATGTTCTGATCCCAAAAATAATGAGAGAAAAGGCCAGAGAGAGGTGTTCTGAACAAGTTGAAGGTAAGATTCATATATTCATATAAAGATCAAACTCATTTGTAATAATACAATGTGAATTTAATCCTTTGCCTCAAAGTCAAGTAGTCAGTGAATTAATATGTATGAGTTGCTTCTCACATTTCCATGGAGATAGAGATACTAGCATTCCAGCTCTCAGACTTTGAGTCAGTGTTCAGTTCATTTACAAGTTAAAAGCATTCCTCCAATTCAGGAGAAAGTCCTCCTTCCCAAGTGTAGTTTTCAGAGGAAACCTTGATGCCAGTGTTCTGGAGAGAAAGTGGGGGAGGAAGGGGAAGGAAGGGGAGGGGAGGGAATCAAGTGTGTGTGGCTTCAGTAGCCTGTTCTGATGTTACACACACATATGCTCACACAGCGATGGTTTTCCTTAGTGTGGATGGCATCTTGCTTGAACTTGCTCTGTGTGTGCTCTGCTGTGTCCTGTGTTTTGAAGTGGAAGTTACTATGTAAATCATGTAGGGGTACCCACACATGCATGCCTTTGAAAACGTTTTTCACAGTACTATTCCTATGTATGGTAATTTTAGAAATATTGTTGATTGATACATAGCATCCTGGTAAAAACACACAAAAGAGTAGTAGTGATGGCTGAAGACTGGGGTCACCATAGTTCTGGAGTTGCTCAGATGTTGGAAAAATAGGTAGGAACTACACTGTAGATATGTCTTTAAAAATAATAGACCTCTTGGAATGGCCATCAAAGCAAACAAACAAAAAAAAGCAGTAAAATTTTGCCCATGTGTTTGGGAAGGTGGCACTGGCTGCTTTTGCAGAGGACCCAGGGTGTCTCAGCACCCACATGGCAGCTCACAATCATCTGTAACTCCGGTTCCATCTGATACCTTCTTTTGTCTCCTTGGGTACCAGAAATGCACACACACCATTCCATATGGAAAAACATTCATAATACATAAAATAAAAACAATCAAAGCCTTATTATTTATCCATTATTTTGTGCTGAGATAGGCTATTTTTCCCACTCCCTGTCCCCGATCCCTTTACCCATGTCACCTTTGCCTTAGCACGATAGTTATTTCTAGTGAGAGAATTGAGCCACAGACGACTGCAAGTTTTCTTCTGGGGAATCAGGTTGTGTCGACTCTAGTTCTATGGCTGTCAATTAAGTTAACATGCTAGGGACCTTTTTCTTCTTTTCCTCCTTCAACCCTTGAATTGACTTCTGGAACACAGTGGAGGCAATAAAGCATGAACAGTTCCTGTGGTAGCCTGGTGTTGCTTGCATTGTATGATTTGTATGAATATTATATTTGAAATCCTCTAACAATTAGTAATTTAAAATCATTCTGTGATACTACTCTTGCTTTAAAAGTCATCCTGAAACATTACTCTTGCTTTCACTGGAAATTAGTTGTTTAATCAGAGCACCTTCCTTCAGCTCCCCCTGCCCCAGGTGTCAGGAGAAATTAGCCCATTGACACCTGCAGGGTTCAGGGCACATCTGGCGTTGGCAGGTGTCACACTAATAATCTCACGAGGCGGTTTTCCACTTGCCTCATGGGACTTTTCAAAACACACCCTCATTCAGGCGAGGCAGGGGAGTTTTGAAAGTGGAATAAAGTTGTCAGGGCAGAACTTTCCACGTCTAGGGAAATGTGTTACTAGAGTCACCAGTCCAGAGTGGTAAGCACCGGCACATCTCTTGTGCTTTGTAATGCCTTACCATGACACCTGGAGTGCAAGGAAGCTAGCTGACCCAGTGACTGGTTAAACGTGTAAGATCCAGATGAAGATACAGCCGTGTGACTCTGTTTTGGTGTCTGAGATGAAAAAGCAGAAATATTTGTGCTTTACAGTGACTGTGTTGTAATGGCAGAAAGTAAACAATACAGTTCCCAGTTTTGTCAGAAATGGGTTTTAAAAAATTAGAATATTTTGACTAGTAGAAGCATCTTAGTTGGTGGCTGGCCTAATGGGGAAGGCATTTGCCACCAAGCCTGAAGACCTGAGTTCCACTCTAGGTCCCACAAGTTGTCCTCTGATCCCCCCCCCCCCAAAAAATGTGCCTTGACATGGACACACACACACATACAAAACATGCACAATGAGTAAATAAACATGCATTAAAACCTCTTAGAATTTGAGATTCATTTAGATTATTTGAATGATTTTCTACTACTAGAAAGTATGCTGTATTTTATTTCTGAATAAACACTGTTCCTAAATATTGCTTAGCATGTTAAATTATTTTATGGACACATAATACTCCTTAGCCTCCATTTGCCCTGTGACAAGTGCACACTAGTACAAGGCTTGCAGTTTGGGCTGTGCTGAAGCACAGCAGTGAGTCACAGTTTAGAGCCAGGACATTGCCATTTATGTACTGTCTATATTCTGCTTTATTAAATGGTTATGGCATTTCACTTAGGAGCAGGGTGGATGCTAATTGTTTGGTTCCTGAATAAAGATACAGGAATTTTAACAAGCCATCTGACTTTCTGCTGAATGTCTGAACATGCTATGTAGGAAAGCTTTTCTGTTTCCTTTTTTTCTCCCCATGTCCCTTCAGCCCAGCTGGGTGTAAGAACTGGGTCAGACTGTCAGCAGCTTAGGTTTGTGAAGGAGACAGATAGAAGCTTTTCTAGGGATGGAGGGAGACGAAATCATTTTCAGTGAAAGACGGGTGCCTTGTTAGAGCCACCAGCAGCAGGTATTGACAGCTACACTTCCTATTAACAGGGAGCGTTTAACTAAGAGTTTGGCTGTCGGATCTTTGGACTTGATCTAATTTGCTAGCATTAATTAGTTTCTTTTGAGCACAGACACTTGGTACTCACAGCTATAGATTTGGAGGGCTAATTAGGATAGAAAATTGAACAGAATGGGGTAAGGCATTAACCTTCCACCATTACCAGCTGGGACACTGATAAAGACCACAGAGTCCAAATGGTCGCTATTGAAGTGAAGAGTACTCTAATGAATATCAGTGTCAGCCCGGTTACTGCTGTGTTCTTACTGGTGCTCTCTCCGTTATGATCTTTAACCAGCTTCTACAGTACCTTTGTTTTCCATGCACTATTGGGTTTCACTTTACCCCGATTTACTCTAAGTTGCACATTTCATCTGAGGTTTAGAGCAATAAAACTGCCTTTGAGCAATAGGTGATGTTTAAAATCTTTCACTATTTCATTTCCAAGTAATAAAATTTGAATTTGGTATACAATTAAATGATTCTGATTCTGTACACCTTCTAAATGCTGGGATGAAGTGTGTGTGTCACCGTGCCTGGCTGTAATGCCTGTAATCCCAGTGCTTCGGATATGGAGGCTGGAGCAGCCAGTGTGTGAGACTAACCTGTGCTATAGAGTGAACCTTCTCTAGTGTGTGTGCTCACGTGCGTTTCTTTTCTGACTGGACGCTTACTACTTACATCTTTTGGAACTTTGATTTGATTATGTAAAGAGAGTATATATAGAGGTTAGTACATGGAAAATTCTGCTCTTGTTTGAATAAACTTTGACAAGTTTGTAAAACTTTTATATCAAAAGAAAACTAAACTTTCTATCAGCCCTTCTCTGCCAGTAGTGTTTGTGTCCATGAATAAAGCCATTAGAACAAATGAGTGAAGTCTGTGAGCTGACCTCATCTCACTGAGCACACTGGGGATGGGACTGACAAGTAACCCCAGAGTGGCTAAATTTCTAGACTCTTCTCCACCCCCAACCCCAAGCAGAAGCCCCTTCCTGACAGCTGTGATGAAGGCCTCAATACTTTTTCATTCATGGATTCATGGTTCTAGGCATTGTTTTGTTTTAAGGAGATGGTTAAATTCCTTTTTTTTTTTTCCATTAAACAAAGTTTATTACAGGTGGGGGAGGGGAAGGGGGGAGAGAGGAAGGCAAGAGAAAGAAGAAAGCAAAGCCAAGTGGGCGTGAAGAGAAGAGAGTGTAAGAGAAGAGCAGTTAAATTCCTTGTTATGTTTCTTGGCTTTTTTTTTGTTTTTTAAACATATAAATGCTTCATGAATTTGTGTGTCATCCTTGTGCAGGGACCATGCTAATCTTCTCTGTATTGTTTCAATTTTAGTATATGTGCTGCCAAAGCCAGCACGTTTCTTGGCTTTTTCCAGTGCATAATTGACATTTGATATACATTTGCTATGTTGTGTCATGTTTGTTTTTATGAAAGTAAGACTTTCCTTTTTATTATCAAGATAAAAAAGTATTTTGTTATCAGGAGTGGCCTAGAAAGCTCTTTGGCCTAGCAAACAACAGAAAAAGAAAATCCAAGTAGGAGCATGTGAGATGTTCTTAAGGAAGTTTGCAAAGAGCATTGAACAAGACTGTATGTGAGTAAATGTCTCTGCCCAGCGGCACTGCTTGGAGCTGCCCACACCTTCTCTCTCATTTGTGGTTTGAATGAGATCGTTATTGCCATACCATGTCTTTGCCATTTGCATCAGTTTGTTGATCTTAACTGACACTGGAGACCTAACACAGCTTCAGACTGGCTTGGATGTATTGAGAAGGTCATACATAGGTCACATCTCTAGTACAATGACTTACGAATATAGCATTGCTGTTTAAGAGTCACAGAGAGATGTAGAGTCCAACTGATGCTCATGGCCCTCACACACTGGACTGTGTTAGGGTTCCCACAACAACCCCTGGATTCAGTGATTTGCTGTAAGACCTCATCATATAGTCATGATCATGAAATTATGTGCAGTTTCCAAGAATCCTTTCCTGGTAGAGTCACTCACACCGTCTTAGCTTTGCCAGTGTGGGATTGTGACAATGTAGGTTAGGTGTTGTCTACCAGGGAAGCTTATTAGCGATTCCACCCATAGGCATGGAAGTTTATGGGGAGTTGGGCCTGTGGGCAACATCTGCCTAATAGGTACCATGATTTCAAATTCCTGGAAGGAAGAGAGTTGTTGAGCATAAACAATATTGTTTGTACAAACAACTTGAGCTCAGTGAGCCACTCTGCTGAATTGCATACATTCTCCCAACCCAAGTTCT